AAGAATGAACGCACAGGCATGCATGCTTTCCGGTTCAGCTAGCTTCCTCCATGCTTGTTCAGGACCCAAACCTAGGAAATGACATCACCCACTTTTAGCCTGGATTTTCCCACATCAATGAACATAACTGTGACAACCCCCCATAGACCAGCCCATGAGAAAGCCTTCATTGAGACTCTTCCCAGTTGATTCTAGATTGTGCCAAGTTGGCAAGACAATGGCATTCACTTTCCTTAACTCCACTAACATGGTGTTCCTATATTAGTAGCACTTATCTTTCTTTTAAATAGCGGTAGACCTAGTAATTTGGAGATTTCCTGTAGGCCCCACCTATGAAAAACCACTACAGCCGGGCGGTGGTGGCGCACGCCTTTAATCCCAGCACTTGGGAGGCAGAGGCAGGCGGATCTTTGTGAGTTCGAGGCCAGCCTGGTCTACAGAGCGAGATCCAGGAAAGGCACAAAGCTACACAGAGAAACCCTGTCTCGGAAAAAAGAAAAAAAAAAAGAAAAAAAAGAAAAACCACTACAAATGGAACATTAGAATCACCACCATCTGTTTGGGTTGCTTATTGGTGGGGTCCATTTATTTATGGATCGCTGGATGGAAAGAAATGAATTAGAGAGATTAATGACTCCCGGAAAATGTAACTTGTAATTTAAGACAAACAGTGTTTAGAGAAACAGGGAAAGGCAGAGCCTAATCACAGAACTTTATTAGCAAAGAGCTGTATATTTAATCTGCCATCTACTTCCTGTGTCATGAAATGCATATACCTGAAGGCAACAGCATACAACAATGAGCAAGTCACTAGTCTATCTGTGGCCCCGACACACCCATGTCAGTCAACACAGCTTCTCTCCAGAGCCCCTTGTCCTCAGTCAACACCAGCCTTTAATCCACATGGGGTGTGGCCCACCCACTAGGAGGGAGGGGGTTATTGGACCTGGTGCCTCTTTCTCTGACTTGCAGTATTGTTTAACAGAGGTCTGACCATAAGTTCAATGTCCATTGGCTTCTGGCCAGCCGAGTTCACTTTCCAGATTGCTTGGCTTCAGTTTGGGAAAGATGTTTCTTATCCTGCTACTGGGAACCAGAGCACTCATGTTTATATGACAGACTTTATCTTCCTGCTTTAGGAAAGGGTAGGGTTCTGTAAGAGTCTGTGGTTGGGCGTTTAGCATGATTTGTTCTTTGGTAGTGAGTGATTATATAGTAAGTTGTTATGTTCAAGATTTAAACTTCAGAAGGCACCACATTTTTACCTTTTAGTAAACGTATCTGCTTCCTACATAAATCTTATTTTTTATGTTTTTTTTTTTTAAGGATAATTTTCTGTGTTTTTGCTTTTCCTGGGCATCTGGTTTTAGAGGCTCTGCAAACTTATCCCTGACAGGAGTTAGTACTGGGTACTTTTAGGCTTAAAGGAAAATGTAAGTTGTACTGTCATTGATTTATGCATTCTTGTTAAATTTTTAAAAAATCCTTCTGAATTTTTCTTTAAAAAATCCTCCTGAATTCTTCCCGAGGCTGTTGTCAGAACTGTCTTTCCTGTGAGGAATGACGGGAGGTCAGACTCCTTGCCCTCCTCTCGTAGACTATGCTTTCCACCCAGATGACCTCCGGAGGGCCAGCTAATGTTATGAACCTTGGCTTTAGCTGTATGTTAGGTGTTGGTGAGACTCTGGGTATATAAATTTCAGGATATATATATATATAAATATTTAAATATTCCCACTATTTTAATATTCTGTTTTCTCCTGCCTCTAAAATAATGGAGGTTTTAGTTGGGCATATGTCCAAGATAAGAGTACATTCTTAGCAGCATTTAGACATGGCTGTGACTTTTTGCTGATAGTCACCCTAAAATGTGTGATTATACTCCATTTCAATTTTGACATCCAGTTCCCTAAAGATCAGTGATATTCACTATCTGTTCATCAACTTATTACCTACTTGTGTGATTTTATTTTAGAAATGCATATTTAAGTTCTTTCTCATATTCAATCGCATATTCAATTTGTCTTTCTGTTGAGTTGCATGATTTTTTATATATATTTTGAATATTTCCTAGAAAACATTTAGCTTGCAAACATTGATCTTCCATTTTGTTTTGTATTTTTTCTTGGTTATTTCTTCTTCTGGTAAGGAGTTTTTTAGTTGGATTCCACCCCACTTGACTAATTTTGATTTTTGTTTCCTGTACTTTTTGTGTCATAGCTAAAAATGCCATTGTCCAGATTCATGTTTAGAAACCAATTTTTCTTCTCATGGTTTTATGCTTTCTGTTCATTTCTTTAGTAACTGAAATTCCATGAATTTTGTCCAATCTCTTCTGGAGTATCCCCTCCTCCAGACACTGGTAACCAGTATTCTGCTATTTCCATTCAACTTTTTAAGATTTGTATGTGCGTGGGATCTTCATGGCGTTTGTCTTTCTATGCCTGGTCATTCCACTTTCCTAAATCCATGCCATGTTCATCTACACGTTTATATCACAGGATTTCTTTTTTGTATGTCTATCAGAGTCCATTGCAAACGTGTAGCATGTTTTCTTTGTCCATCCATCCCTCCAGCTTGAGCCCCTGCCTTGGCGTTGAACCCTGCACTATTCCTTCCTATGCTGGTCTGATTGCCTTTGCACATGCACACTGGTGGGATCTCTATCCAGTTTCACATCTTCACACTTAACTCTATATCATTTGGGCTGACTTTTGTGTAGAGTGTGCATAGGATCTAATTCTGCTTTTCCACATGTGGATGCCCTGTTTCCCCAGCACAATTTCTTGAAGACACCGTCTTCCTGCTTGTGTGTTCTTGACAGCCTTGTAAATGATCAATTGATAGTTAATTCATGAAATTAGTTTGAGCCTCTTACTCTGTCCCATTGGTTTATATACTTGTTTTATTATTATCATACTTTAAGAATACTCATTGACACAGTTTAATTACATAAATTAATGGGATTCACCATGATATTCTGAGACTGACACTGTCCATTGTGTGGTTATATATTGTGCCCCTCAATAAAACTTATCTGGGGATAAGAGGACAGAGCCAGCCACTAGATTAGACATAGAGGCCAGACAGTGGTGGCACACACCCTTAATCCTATCACTGGAAGACAGAGATCTGGTGTCTCTGTACCTTGGTGATTCTATACCTCAGCCCACATGAGACATGAAGTAGAAAGCTGTTCTTAGCTCAATTTTAGAACTTCTTTTTAAGTTCTCCCAAGTTTTAGGTAGAAAGTCGTGCCAACACATTGGGCAGCCAAATGTAGCTGGAATTTTTCTCCAGACTTGCCTAGCCCTGAAGTCCACAGCTGCTTAGTCTCAAGTAAACACACAGAGGCTTATATTATTTATAAACTGGATGGCATATGGCTAAGCTTCTCACCAGCACGCTCTCATAATTTAACCCATTTCTATTTATCTATGTTTTGCCACATGTTTCATGGCTTTACCTGAAACATGGCATAACCCATATATGTTGCTCATTGGGCAGCTGGCTTGCGTCTTCCTAGACTCCGCCTTTCCCTTTCCTGTCTCTCTTCTCTCCTGCCTACCTCTAAGCTGCCTTGCCATAGGCCAAAGCAGCTTATTTATTAACCAATAGTGACAACGTACATTGACAGCATACAGGAAGACATCCCTCAGCATTTCCTCTTTGAGTTCAAGGCCACATTGGGAACAGAACAGGCATGGTGGCACATACCTTTAATCCCAACACTGGAGATCTCATGCCTTTGTTTGGGAAGCACACACACCTTTAATCCCAGGAAGCAAGATGACAGGACACAGAAAGGTATATAGGGTGTGAGGAAACAGGAACCCATGCTGTTGAGGCTGAGGATTTTGTAGAGGTAAAAACTTTTGGCTGGCTTGTTCTGTCTCTCTGATCTTTCATGATCTTTTCATTTTTCTGTCTTTGCTGTCTGAAAACATTAAAAACATAGTAGGTGGGAAAGCAGCCTGTGAAACCAGTACTCACAGTCCTAAAGCTACATCTGAAAAGAAAAGTATCCAGCCCAGGACAATCCAAGACCAAATTCTCAGTACAAAGGAGATTTATTTGCCCCAGAATGACAAAGGGCAGGAATAAGAGACAAAGACAGGAGACAGAGGATGAGGGAGAAGGGGAAGGGAACAAGGGAGAGGGGGAAGGGACACTTGTTCCAGAGGACACAGGACTGCCTCTGTGCCACAAGCTGCAACAATATGAAGTAGGATTTCAGCTGATTATGACAAGCTAATACCTGGAAGAAGCCAAGGGCCTTCCAGAGGACAAGCTGAGGCTCAAGGAGCCTTGGTGATATTGGGTTTTGATTATCAGCCATTTCCTGCTATGAGTTTCTCATGTGTTATTGTAGCTTTTCCATCATTGATTGGGCACTATTTCCCCTCTACTAAAGGAATACTTAGATAACCTTTTGTGTAGTAATGCAGCCAGGATAACTAATTTCAGACCTTTCTGTAATTATCATCATTAGCAGCATCTGGCCAGGTCCATCCCCAGACAGACAAAGTATCTTATCAGAGATACCTCTATACTCTCTAGGAACAGACTTAAGCATCCAGACTTATCTGTTTGAGAAGGCCTGGTGGATGTGCTAATTAAGCTTAACTTTCTCCTTTTCAAAGTCTTATCTCTAGTTTTAGATCCACCCTTAACAATTAACTCAGAACTAAAGTGTTCCTACTTACAGGTACATCTAGCTGTAGTGAAAGTTGCCTAGCCAAGTTGCCTAGTGACCGAGCACACTTCTCCTGCCTTGCCAGAAACTGCGGGAGCAAAGATAGTTTGGAGAGATAAAGGCCAAAGGGATAAAAGGCAATTTTATTTTCAGAGCAAGGGCAGAGAAGAACAAAGAGAATGGAGATGGGTGAGAACTGGAGAGGAATGAACTGAGATGGGGAAGAACTAGATAGAAGAGAACTAGATTAGAGAAGAACTAGATTAAAGGGCTAGAAGAGAGTACTAGAGGAATGAGATGGAAGATGAGGAAGAGCCAGATGGGGAAGCACAAGATGAGGGAGAAGGTGATGGGTGAGGAGCTAGATGGGAATGAACTAGACAGATGAGAAAGACCAAGATGAGACAGAACTAAGATGAAGGAATTCAGATAGCACATAGAGAGAATAGCAGAAAGCTGTAGAGAGGATCAGGCAAGAAAGGAGTTAAGTGAGAACTAACTCAGAAGAATAAAGTGTATGGACTAAAGAATTTTGTGTGCATAGAGTCATTGAATATCAACAAAGATTAGATTATCAGCTGGTTGTAGATTCTTCCCAGGCCCTGGGAGGGGGCTTTTGAGGGCCTAGACCTCCCAAAACCTCGATACTTCTGCATAGAGGGGAGACAGACATGACCTATAGACAAATGTGTTTATAAAGGTAAAAGGGGAAACTCCATGAAAGAATGAGATGTTTAATTTTAATTGGGCATGTTAATTAGGTGAGCCCAAGGGAGCTTTTGATTGTTGGACTTCAATACATCTATAGAAAGTCCTTGGTAGTTGGTCCCTCAGGAGGAGCAAATGGTCAAAATAGGGAATAGACCTTGGTGGCTAGCTTTAAGAATGTAGTCTGAAGATCTTTAGCAAGGCAGAGGGGATGGGGGAAGGGAAAGGCCTGCCAGAGTCATGCACACCACACTGGCCAGAGTCCTTTCACTATGATCTTCTATTATTGCTTATTTTTAAACAAGATATCACAATGTAGCCCTTAGCCAGCCTGGTATTCACTATGTAGCCTGGTCTAGGCTAGCCTGGAATTCACTTTCTCCTGACTTGGCCTACCATATACTGGTTTTAAAGGTGTATGCTACCACCCAGCTTTCCTCTCCTTTTCTGTTTTCTTTTTGTTTGTTTGTTTCTTTTATATACATTTGGTTTATTTGTTTGTTTGATTTTCTGTTTGATTTTTTTGAGACAAGATCTCACAGTGTAGATTTTGCTTGCCTGTAATGCCCTATAGAGACCATGGTAGCTTCAAACTCATTGAGATCATCTTCCATAATTTTTGATAAAAGGTTGACAGTACTGTATGCAATTTTCAGAAAACATTTATTGTTGTACTTGAATGTTGTAACTGGATGAGTTAGAACACATGTAGGTACTAGGGCGGTTACTCCTGTGAAGCAGATGGCACATCTATCATCTCACATTGTTAATTTTCATGAAATGAACAGCCAAAATGGATTCAATAAAAATTCCTAATGCATGAGCTGGGGAGATGACTTGGTGCTTAAAGCACATGTCACCTGAGTGTGAGGACTGGAGGTACGATCTCCAGAATTTAGATAAATGCTGGGTTGTGGGGCACTACCCCAGAGTTTTCTTGAGTGAGAGTAGTAGAAAATATTAGATAGAAGGATTTAGAGTGTGGAAATAAACAGATGGAAAATACAGGATAGCCTCGAGAGGGCCTGGAACCTATTCCAACTGGCCCTGTTTCTGACCTAGGGTATTTATAGAATACCAAGGGGTGGAGCAAAAGACCTTCCCCCAGCACAACCAAGTGCAGACCATCTCAAACACCTGCACTCAGGCCCATGGTCCAATCATCCTCTCTATGCAGACCTGCTGTTAAAGCCACTAAGAACCTGAAAATGGGCTCCCACACTGGGTGGGTATGATAGTCTACCTCCAATCCAGTGCATAGGTCGAGGACATAGGATAGCGCTGGAGCATGCTGGCAGGCCAAACTGGCTGTACTGGAGAGTTCCAGTTTGACGTGAGAAATCCTGCTTCATTGAAAAGGTGGAAAGTGGCTGAAAAAGACTCCTAAAGACAACATCTGGCTTCCCCATGCAGACACATGCATGTGTCCCCTCACACACATATGCCCAGACACAGGCAAACATGCATACATACCCCACACATATCCACATGAGGGAAAGGGAGAAAATCCCCAATATGGCAGTTTCCTGAAGTACTGTCTGAATGTTGCACATCAGATCTCTAGACTCACATATCCTCCATATGTTCAGTCCCACCTTCCCTCCCCAGCTGTGAAGAACACTTTTTTTGATGAGTGCGTATTTGGAATTCACAAAAAATGAATTCTTTTAGAGTCAAAGTAGTTTTTCTTCATTAACCATGGCATCATTCTTAGAAATGCCACTGTTGCTATTTCTAATACTCTATTACCCTTGATTTGTGGCTCTTCTTTTAGGTCCCACAGCTCCTCTACTACAAAGGAACGGTTGGATTCCACTCACTTATAACTTCATATTTATCCCCTAAAACTCCTGGCTCATGAAGGACTGGGGACTTTGGTGACGACCTACGTGGATGCCATCAACAGTGGAGCTGTGCCTTGTTTGGATGACGCGGTGACAACTCTGGCCCAGCGTGAGAACTCAGCAGCTGTGCAGAAGGCAGCTGACCACTCCAGTGAGCAGATGGCCCAGCGACTGAGGCTCCCCACAGACACGCTCCAGGAGCTGCTGGGTGTGCACACAGCCTATGAGGAGGAAGCCAGTGCTCCCTTCTTAGTCGGGAATAAGTCAAGTTTTCTGATTTTTGACTTATTTCAATTCTTACATCACAATACTCTTCTCATGAGAAATAGTCAAACTGACTTCCTACTGGGTTCTTTGAAAGTTTCTCTATTCTTCCCATTTGGCCACATCTCTGTACATTTTCCTTGCAGGAATCCATAGCAAAGAAGGGGATTTGTGCAGAAGAATGAAGAGACCCCTGTGAAATACTGCCGGAGAGCTGACTCAGCTTTGGAGGCTCTAACAGAAAGTATTTCAGCCTGGATGTTTTGCCTGCCTGGAGGTCACTCGGGAGAAGCCTGAACAAGACTATTGGTGGGTGTCCATGAAAGGGGTGAAGGTGAAGAGCTGGGAGCACAGGACAGGGGTGAGGGTGAGGAGCAGGGAGCACAAGACAGGGGTGAAGGTGAGGAGCAGGGAGCTCTAAGGAGAGCATGGGGAGGAGTCTCATGGGTGTGAGCATGCTTGAAAGGAATAATAAAGCCTGAGGAAGTCAAGGCACCTTAGCTCCTTTTCAGTGTTGAGGATCAAACTCAGGGCCTTGCAAATGCTGTCCAAACATTGTGCTCCAGATAAACCTTTTACGTGTGTGTATGTATATGTGCATGTGTGTGCAGGTGTCTAGTTGTCTTGAGTGAAAGTCTGTCCAGAGTTAGACAAGGCTTAGAACAGGGCCGTAGGGGTCAGAGTGCATAAGATGTCACAGAGCGTGGTGTGCAGACAGATGGTATTTATCCCGAGCAATAGGAAGTGGTTAAGATTTCTGAGCAGGTGGTATGATTTTTTTTTAATGCCACCATATTGGAGACATTAAAAAATGTTGATTAGCTTTTCTTAGCATTTCTGTCTGGCCATGGTAGCAGGCCCTTCTACATGCAGTCTGATTACAGAAATATTTTAAAAGAGAGCCTTATCCTGCTATGAAAGGCAGCAAGAAAGGGTGGGTGTGTCTGGGGATCTGACCTTTGAGGATTTTCCCTCCAAACTGAATGTACTTCTAGCTGCCAAAGCCAACCCTGAAAAGGCATTTTCTGGCATGTAACTCTGGTGGAAACTGAAAGCAGCTGAACCTTTTCTGTAACTGGGGCATTTCTAGGAACTCATTTCCTGTTAGCAAAAGAGGAAAGTGGTTTCTTTTCAGCTCTAAAGAGGTTTGCAACTACAAAACTAAAGTACAAAGGCAATTAACCCACTTAGCTCTGTGGTAGTTTTCTTGTTTAAAAACCCTGTCTCTCAGTATGTCTGTCTTTCTCTCATGATGTGTGTGTCCATGTTTGTGTGAGTGCTTGTCTATGTGTGTAAGGGAAGGTCATGTGTGCCACGTTGCTCTGGAGATACGTGATCCCATATTGTTTGTTATAAGTTGTGCAAGCTGGCCCACAGGTTTCTGGGTATTGTTCTGTCTCTGCCACTTGCCTTGCCACACTAGCACTGAGACAGCATATGCACGATACAGCATGAGCTTTCCCATGGATTCTGGGGATTCACACTCAGGCACTCACACTTGAATGGCAAGGGCTCTACAGACCCAGTCATGTTTCCACATCCCAGCGTGCTTTTGTAGAACATTTTAGAAACCACATTTTCCCACTGGCATATCTATGTTTCACAGTTTGGAACAGCTTCTTTATGTGGCCAGTGGTTTTGGCTGGGAACTTCACCAAAGCCTCACAACGGTCAATGTGTCCCTTCAATGTCTGCTGTCTCCACCACCCTCCATGGTGCATGTCTCCACAGGGCTTCCGAAACCAGGGGAACTGGGTTATTTTCAACTGTCTGTGTTCTCCCACAGCCTCCTTGTTACCTGTCGTAAAACAGCCACTGGGAAAACATAGTTGTAGACAAATTTCTAAACAGTCTTATTAAATAAGAAACACAGAGCCAAATACAGGGTTGAAAGCCATAGAGATCATAGAAATAGTGAGAGCCACCAGCTAACCTTAGCTCACCATGTCACCGTAGCTTCCCAAGGGAACCAGCAACTTCCTGTCTAACCTGCGCTTTTATTGCCTGTTCTGCTTTCTCATTGGCTCTTAGCCCAGCCACCTCACTTCCTCATCACTGCCTGTCTATACATAGCTCCAGGTCTCTATGGTTGGTACTGGGATTAAAGGTGTGTGTCACAATGCTTGGCTGTGTCCTTGAACACACAGAGACTCTGCCTGTCATGTGATTGGATTAAGGGTGTGTGCTACCACCACCTGACTTTTGTTTATGGGTGGCTATGACCACTGACCTCCAGACAAACTTTATTTATTAACAAACAAATTAAATATCACCACATTTCAGCACAAATAAAATATCACTACATTTCCCCTTTTTTTCTAATAAAAAGAAAAAAGAAAAAGAATTGAAGCAAAAAGAGAGGTATAGAAATGGTAGAGTAGAGGGTAGATTATTTGAATCTACTCTGAAAAGTAAAGAGAGGATATATACTATATAGATAAAAAGGTAGATTACTGAATCCACTTTTAAAAGACAATTACTGAGACACGGCAGTGGAGACAAGCAGACGCAGGTAGGCCTGTGGCAGCGGCCTGTGGAGGTAGAAGGGCCCAGCGGTGGCAGCCGACAGGGAAATTCAGACCTGGCGGCAGCCGGCAGAGATATTCAGGCTCAGCGGCGGCCCACAGAGGTAGACGGGCCCAGCGGCGGCCTGCTGAGGTAAACGGGCCGGCGGCAGCGGCCGACAGGGACATTCAGGCCCGGCTGCAGCCGGCAGAGACATTCAGGCCCGGTGGTGGCCCCCAGAGGCAGACAGACCCAGCGACAGTTGACAGGGACATACAGGCCCAGCGGCGGGCCGTAGAGGTAGACAGGCCCAGGGACGGAGACAAGCATACGCAGCTTGGAACAGGGACGCCCCTAACCCCAACATCTGGGGAAGAAGCTATCTCCGTGGGTCAGAACCAGAACAAATCTGAACACTCCGTCTGAGGACAACCCAGGGCCCAGCTGCTGATCCTGTGAAACCCAACAACTTGGAGGTGTTGGTGAGACTACCCTGCTCAGCTGAAACCCATCCGGGAGAGGATTCAGATGCCTA